GGGGGGGGAGGGAAGTGATTGAAATAGTAAAGATTTAAGAGTAAAACCGAAAAATGGCACTCCTTTTTTCCTATAAGGAGAAATTAGTAATTAGCTGGCTGCTAACTACGTTTATTCAGTACAGTGTTGCAATGGCCGAAGCGCTCCTGTCGTAATGTACCTGGACGTCAATCGAGTGAGCGAAGCATTCTGAGTGTGCCTGCAACCGCTGGATCACCAAAAACATGATGATAGGGGGCATGCCAGACGTTGGCCATTTTGCAGCAACACTAAATGAACCTGGACGTCAAGCAAGTCACAGATGCATTGACTTACAGTAATGGTTCTGCCAGGGGGCATCGTAGGGAATTCTACGCTACCACTATATATCCACAGGCATTTACGTTTTTTTTTTTAATTATTTTTTATCAACGCACCTGGTGCTTTTCTCAATTACTAGTATTTCATGATTTTTTTTAGTAAAATTTTATTGCTTTTTCTTGGCTTTTTTAAATCCATTTTTAGCGTTTTTTTTCTTTTTTTTTTTCGTATTCAATCTTTCACCATGTTCTCTACGTATCATCAGCAAGACAAAACCTCTCACACTGTGCTAGGTTAAGAGTTAGAGCAAACTTATATTGGGTCTTCCTTGGATGTATTTAACTGCAATTGTGGTCGGATTCGGTCGACAAAGTCCTCCCGCCCGGTAGTGTGACCTTCAGTGCCCCGCCTTAGGAGCCGCCATACTCATACAGGGACTTCCTTGGATGTATCTCACCGCAGTTGCGGTCAGATTCGCTCTAAACAGACCGCCTAGTTAGTGTGAGCTCCAGGAACACTCCCCCTCCATACGTGACTGGATCACTCAATCCCCCGAATAGAACACTCGGTCATTATAACTGTATTTGGTGCAACTTTCAGTCTTGATACAACGATAACAACCACACGTTCTATTCCGTGAAGGACGGTAGCAGACAGCCACGAGGGGGAGAGAGCGCCACAGAGAGAGAGAGAGAGAGAGAAAAGGAAGATCAGCAGGACTAGCACCAAGAGGAGGAGGAGGAAGGAGGTAGGGAGATGGAGAAAGGAGAAAGAAGAAAGGAGGTAGAAGGAGGAAGTAGGTAGGAAGGAGGAAGGAGGAAGGTGGTAGGAAGGAGGAAAGAGGAAGGAGAAGCAGGGAGGAGGTAGGTAGGAGGAAGGAGGAGGAGAGAGGAAGAGGGACAGAAAGACAAGAAGGCCTCGTGGCTTTTTCCATTCTTCCATTCCCTTTCTCTTTTTTACCTTTTTCTCTTTTTATCATTTTATCTTTTTTGCTTTTCTTATTTTCCCTCTTTTTTGTTTTTTTGTTTTTTTCTTTTCTTTCTTGGGGCCTCGGTCTACAGCGAGAGACCGACCAACTTTGTTTTTTTGTTTTTTTTTTTTTGTTGGGGGGGGGGGGGGGGGGGTTACTTTGGACCATTTTTCGATTTTTGCGTGTCATCCTCCTGCGCAGAGGCCATGCTAATTAGTATCTTCTCTGTATCGTTCCATTTTTAACGGATATGTCCCAAATGAATCTAGCCAACCTCTAGTGCTCAATACACGCGCCATTTTCACATCGGGCGAGTGGGCGAGCAAGGAGGCAAAAGAGGAAGACGTGGAAGAAGCTGAGTGTATGTAGGGAAGAGAAAGCAACGGGGAGGACAAATGGGAGAGAGAGAGAGAGGAAATGGGAGCGAGAGAGAGAGGAAAAGGGGGGGGCGGGGATGATGGTGAAGAAGAAAAGGGACAAGGAGGAGGAATGGAAGGAATAACAGAAGGAAGGAGAGGAACGAACGGATACATTATTTTTATTTATTTATTTACTTATTTATTTATTTATTTATTTATTTATTTATTTATATTACTTTACTTATATTATTATATTATTTTTATTATTTTTATTATTTTTATGCACACAAGACTCCATCATACTCACGTCCGATCCCCCACCGACAGACTTTGGTTGGGAGGTTGGGAGGACAGAATGAATGTGACCATATATGCAGCCAGATGCATTCACGAACCACAACCACAAACAATACGACGACTGGCTAATACGAGTCGGCCCTTAATTACGCGATTTTCCCATTAATAAACAAGACTATCAACCCCACCGGTTAGATCGATCGACACGTGGCGCACACGTGGCGCACACGTGGCACACACGTGGCACAGCCGTTCGTTCCTACCTTACCCTGCGTTGCGCTTGCACGTGGTCGTAATCGCTGACGTGGTTCATCGGCACGATCATCGCCAGCAGCAGCAGCAGCGGCGGCATCTGGTCGGACCCGCCTGTGGCAGGTCACTTCAAGCATGTTCTGCTTGGCATAATCTTGAAAATTTTGGCGCGAAAATCTTTCTACCTCCCATTGCCACGTGGACAGCCTCACCCCGCCCCCCCCTGCCGCCGCCACGTCAGATTTCCCGCGCTCGACAAGTGGAGAAGTGAATCTACTCGATGAGAACCCCACGCCCTCCATCCGTGGCAGCGGAAAGACCGTCCTCGGGGCAGCCATAGCCATCCCTCTTCCCTCCCCTCTTCCGCCTCGACGGTCTTTTTTTTTCGCTTCTTTTTCCCTTTTTTCTTTTTTTTGCCCTTTCTTTTTCCTCCTTTTTTGGAACCACTCTGCCGCTACTTTTGCCCAACAGAGTCGCACGCAATCCGAATTCCAAAGCGATTTTCCCCCCTCCCCCCCTCCCCCCGTCGCCCCCCTTCCCCACGCACGGCTGGAAGCCGAGCTGCAGCTATGGCCGCCTCCGCTCGGGGCAAATAGACCGAACACGCGCCACGTGTCCGACGAAGCGGCGTGCGAGCGACAAGTAGTCACCGGGTACCGTCCGCATGTCCGAACACACGCTCTCACTCTCTCTCTCTCTCTCTCACACACACACACACACACACACACACACACCTGCCCAGACCTGGCAGCCAACGGCGGTGAGGCCAAAAAAGCCCCGCCAGGCCCCGCCAGACCAGTCAAAACATGCGAGTAAAATAATATTAGAAAAGAAAAAAAAAAGAGCATGCGAGTACCACCGCCAACCAGCTTATAGCTAAGTTGGAACACCCATTTGAAATGCGGATGTGAGTTCGAATCCAGATGGAACCAGATGAATAGTGGGCTTTTGCGTCTGTGTCAAGGTGTCGCATTTTTGGCGGCGGGCGACCAGGACACAAAGTGGGTTCTTAGGGGGCAAAAAAATTTGGGGGACCGGTCCTTGGCAAAACTGCGGACTACCTACAGCTAGCTCTGGTAGAACCGGGACTTTTGGAAAAAGGAAGGACCGGTCCTCGGGTGGAAGTGGACCCCAAAATGAGTGGGGGGCGTTGGACCGGTAGATGCAGACCCCAAAAAGAAGTGAGGGCATGTGAACTGGAAAAGGGCCCACAGTCCCAGGCATTGAGCCCCGTCTTCTCAAAACAGGGAGGTCAGGCACAACGAAATAGGCGTTTTGCAAGAGGCAACTTTGGCGATTTTCTGTGCTCGGACGAACATGCACAAAAATCTGAAATTTTGAGAATCCATAGATAAGGTCGTGTTCTTTCCAGAAATAATAAACGAACATTTACAAAAAATCATTTACACTGCGAAATAATCGTCGCGCCAATTCGGCACATTTTCCATTTTGCCACTCAGCCATGCCTGGGCCAACTAAAAAAGTACTCCAAATTCAGTGAATTTTCACGCTCAAAAGAATGAGTGAAAAAATCTGAAAATTGGAGTACTCGTAGATTTTGTTGTGATCTTTCCAGGAAAAACGCTAAATAACTTGAAAAAAAAATTCCAACTGCAAAATAGATCGCGGCCGCAATTTGACCCATATTTCAATTTTGCCATTCAGTCTCTCTCTCTCTCTCTCTCTTTCTCTCTCTCTCTCTCTCTCTCTCTCTCTCTCTCTCTCTCTCTCTC